AAAAAAAAAAAAAAAAAAAAAAAAGTTTTCAAAAATTCTGAAAAACACAAATGTCAAGGAAAAAAATAAACTAAACAACATTTGCCTAGGCACTACATCCAAATTCTTTACCAAATTTGAATTAAAAACCAAATTCTTTACCAAATTTGATTTGGTTGATTCTCGAGATTAGGCTTTGGTTGTTTCGCGAGATTAGGCTTAGTTAGTTTTCGGTTGGGATCTCGGCAGTAGCTCATTTAAAGATCCTGCGAGGGATTTCTTTTCGGCTTGGGGGGTTGTTACTAATCGTTTTTTGGGGGGTCTTTTGTCACGTTTCCACAATGCGTGTAGTGCTCAGGGTTGCGATTGTTATAGGTGACTATGAAGATCTGATTAGGGTTATAGTCTTTTATGATGATGATGCAGGGACGTGCAGGATCTTGATCAGGCACGGTTGATCTAACTGTCACGCCATCTGAGCTATTGAGATTCTCGTTTCTCGCTTCTCGCCTTTGCCTGGTGATTGGCGAAGAACGGCTCGCTGCGATTGGTTCTTGGACTCTCCTTTATTGCCGACGACTAGTCTGTTGCTTTGTTTTCATGTGTCTCTCTCTCTCTATCTCGGTTTCTCCTTTTTCGATTGTGTCTGTCCCTTTGTGTGCAGGTGCGGTCTGATGGGGACTCCGGTGAAGTGTTTCAACTGTAATGGCGATGGCCACTTCGCGCGGGAATGCCCGAGTACCAAGAATCAGAATGGCAACGAAAATTCCGCGTCGGCACCCTCGACTCCTCAGTTTTGGACACCCAGACGTAATCCCGAGGAGACTGAGGAGCGTGAGTTTATCAAGCAGATGATACAGGAAAAAAGAGAGGAACAGGCCAGGAGGAGGGAATTGGAGGAGCAGAGGAGATTTGATGAGAAGTTGAGAGCGGAGATGGCGAGGTATGCTGAAGCAACCAAGGCGGAAGTTATGGCGGTTGTCACGAGACAGTACTTAGGACAGAGGGATGAAGCAAGGAGGGAAGAATTGAAGAGGGGATGGTCCCCTCCTCCCCGGAGGAGGGATGACCATCGCGTGGAAGAAGATTTGGGTGATGTCGACGACATTGACTTGGAAATAAGGAGGTTGGAGCTTCTTTGGGAAGAGGCGGGGTGGGAAAGAGCCGGTACGGGGTGGGATTAATTTCCGACAGCCATCCTTTACGTCTGGGCCGGGGTCGGTGGATGACCCGACAATTCGGGCGGATTGCTCCCGTGATGGAGGTGAACGGAGGAGGAAGCTGCCAAGAGGATCTGGGACGGCGGGTCTGCTTCAGTATGTCTTGGATCAGAAGAAGGAGTTGTCTGCTTTGAGACAGGATGAGCTCAAGCGGATCTATGTGCGCGAAGGACTGCAATACGACACCAAGGGACCAACTATTGACCGGATTATAGCAGCTCGGGGGAAGGTTGCCTACGAAGGATTTGTGTTTTCACCTGCTCCTTCAGCGCCGAACTTGCCAGAGGGGGCAAACTCGCAATCTAAGTGACTGCGGGATAATGCTTGCTATAAGCTGTGGGACAATCTGCTGCATTGGATGGGATGCAGGATCAGAGCTTTCCGGAACAATATACCATTCAAGGAACGCCTAGTTTTTTATAAATGTGTTTCGCTGGGCTTTGTTGCTCTTACTCTCCTTGGTGAAATTAAATGGAGTGGTAAGTTGCAGAGGATGTTATGTTCGGTTGATTGGTCTTGTTGGGATCATGGTCCAGTCGTTTATCTCCTCTCCTCGCCATGGTGCAAACAGCAGTATGTTGGGAGTTCTGTTAGGGGGATCTACATGAGATGGAATGAGCATGTACGTACCTCTTTTAAGGGAGCTTTAGGAGTCTGTCCCAAATTGTATAGATAGCTCAGGTTCTTCGGTATCTGGAGGTATGTGACCATTCCCCTAGCAAATGGGATAGCGACGGTTGACATGGCTAGAAAAGCAGTTATTCGGAGTTTTACTCCAATTTTGAACACTAGACGGTCTCGGAGGTGTAAGAAGTTCGGAACCAGACCATCTCGTCGTAAATGGAAGGGTAATGAAGTTATTCCACCTACCTTCGGATCTTTTGTCAGGTTCAGGGTTGAAGGGGGTGAATTGTGTGACAGCCTGCTTTCCTTGTTGTGTGGACAACTTAATTCAGGTATTAGACATGTCGTTTTGGAAGTTTTTCCGGGGAATTTCTGGGCTGATAAATGGTCATTGGTATGTCGGTTTTTTGGAACCTCGTTGGTGCAATGTGGCACCGCATCCGTTTGCTTAAAAGGAGCGAAAAAGTTGCTTCAAAGTGGAGGAAGTTTTTTGTTTGGACCTCTCATTTTCACCCCTTCTGGTAGAGCGATTCTGAAAGGTCAGTTGCAGTTGTTTCTGCGCCAGCCTTGGAGGAGGCGGGGGTTACCTTCCTGTTCAGATGTTACGCTTATGCGTTGGTTCAAATCTGCACGTGAGTTTTCTAGAAAGGAGACCCGCTCGCTGCTTAAAGGCATGATTGCTAAAGAAGTTAAGAATAGAATTGGTTGGGATATTCCGAGTAGGCTAGTTGTCTGGATGACGTATGACCACAAAATCTTGACTAGAGAGGTTCACAACTTGGCGGTTAGAGCCGTGCGTGAGTCTGTTTTTTCCCCAGTTTTCATTGGTTTTATGTGCTCACGGGTAAGTTTTGTGTGGATAAAGAACAAGTGTATTGGGGATTTGCTCTTTACGCACAAGAAGGTTTCTCGGGCAGAGTTCGGGAGTTGTTACTGTTTTGATGACGGACTTGGCTGGAATCGGCATGGGTTACACATTATGACCCGGATTGGAGATGTTCCAGGAATCCCGGACGTTTTTCGGAATTCCAAAAACATTCATGTACGGAACGCCGGTGTGTACATTGAGGAATTAGGTAAGGAGGTTGTCCGAATTTGCAGGATCAAAAGGTCATCTTATGTGATTAACAAATCTGGCCTGACAGCGTGTTTAGCTACCACTGATGATGGCTTTGCTGATTCTGATCTCTCCGGGTGGTTGACAAAGCTAAAGAGGTTCGCGTGTGTACCTATAGATCGGAACATCGCTGACACTCTGATCATTTGTCCTCTGTTGTATTCCCATTTCTAGAAAATGACCTTTGATTGGAACTGTTCCTTCATGCAGTATGATGGGGAAGTTCCAGCCTTGCTTTCTGATATGCGAACGGTTTTTCATACGTCGGGATTACATAAGATTGGTAAATGGGACACCATGGGGACGTTTGGCAGAGCCTTCGTTCTCCCGAAACACAAAGATCTTATGAGGTGGCGTCCCATTTCGCCCACTTGTCCTGAACCCACAAGATTGGCCTGTGCTCGAGGCGTCCGGTCTTTGAATTGTTTGTTGTTCCGGCTTCCCAATCATCTGAGTTTCAATCTTAAGGAAGTTGATCAGTTCCGGATCCAGGTTAGGGACATGGACGTGGCTTTGGGTCACCTACCGGGATTGATAGATCACGTAGCGGGGTCCTTCGATGTAAAAGATATGTTTGTGACCCTGTTGCATGGTGATATCCTCTGTGCGGTGGATTGGCTACTGGCCAGATGCGTCGCCTCTGGCTACGAAGGTGTCAATATCACCAAGAGAGATAATCAATCATTCTTGACGTCCGGGGCTAGGAGAGAGGATTGTTTGTTTTTGAGTTGGCAAGTGATTCGTTGTATGATCGGTTTTGATCTCCGGTTTGCCTTTGTATGGTCTGCGAAGACCTTACTAAGACAGGTGATTGGTGTCCCGATGGGGAAATCTTCGAGCTGTTCTCTTGCATGTATTTTGTGTATATGGGCTGAGTGTAATTTTCTGAGTAGTTTGGGGGTAGATAGGCGTCTGGTGTTTGGATCTCGGATCATTGATGACGTTACTATCTTTGTGGCGGTAGTTGGACCAGCTGGGTATAGCACCGAACATCGCATTTTTGGGGAGTTAAAGGATTGTTATGGTTCTACGCTTAGGTTGGAACGAACTGATGATGGTTCAGAACAATGGACTTTTGTCGGGCTGATCGTGCAGAAGATTGGCACGGCGGTACGAACCGTCGCCTTGGTGAAGAATGCTGACCCTATCTGAAAGGAAGGGAGATTGGCTTTTGGATCCTATCAGGACTTTGGGTCCTATTCAACCAAATGTACGAAGATTGGAGCGATTATTGGGTCACTGCATAGGATTTACAGATGGTCATCTGATAAATTCGGTCGGATGCACGCTCTCCTCGCTATTAGGAGGGAGTTGCTTATGCAGAACTATCCCCATAGGTTAGTCTCCAATGCCTTTGAGAGGTTTGCACGGAAAAAGAAATCGCCTGAGGCCTTCGTGGTTTCCCGGATGAGGGGGACTTGATTCTGGTGGCTTCGGGGGTTTGGTGGGTTTGCCAAACTAACCCATCTCTAGGCTTACTCTCACTTCGGTGTGGAGCTACCCTCTGAGGGATAACCCCCGGGGAGACAATCTGTGCATTACCATCTGGCGGCGGGATTTCCATCTAGGTTCGGGGCGCTTTTAGGCCTGTTTTTCGATACTTTTCTCTTTTGCCCATGTTCCTGTTTTTTCGATTTTTTGTGCATGAATCTATTCAGTTTCCGGTATCCAACCATGTATTCCTTCAGCGGCAGTACACACCTGACACAAGACGGAGGGATTTTTTTGACTGCATGTATCCGGTCGGCTTTCGGTGTTAAGTGACTGGCCACTCTTTGGGGTGCGGAAGGGCACCGCAAGACTGCACTTACCTGGCATGTGCCGGTTTTTTGGTGCTCTATCATCCCAACGCCTGAGCTCGACAGTATTTCTTCCCGCTGATCGATCCGCTGGACCTCATACGCCTCCGTGCGAATGCACGACCTCGTCGAGTTGTCCGTCGTCTGCTCGACGGTTGCTGGCATCTCCAGCTGCAGAGGTGACGGCGCCTGCGGAGGGATCGCTGCGATTGCAGTGCTTCGCTGTGCGACGACGTGCTTCGTTTTTCCCTCAAGTGTTCGGGGTTGTGTTGTCTTGTGTCTTCGTACTTGCGTGTGTGCAGGTCTACAGAGATATGGGGTCGGCGGTGGATTTCGGATCGAACGTGCTCCGGGGACGACCGAGATCGATGTGGCTTGCTCAATCCTCTCGACGTCTCTCGGTTGTTGTTCTTCTTTCCTCCTTTCTTTTTTGGCAGCGACTTGCGCTGATTGACATTTAGCCGAAGGTAGGAGTTGGATGATGTACTATATAAGGAGGTAGGCTGTAGGATTAGCCTCCATGCTTTGAGCGATCGGAGTTGTAGGGAAGAATCCTCCTGATGAGACTACGTGCGGGGTAGGCGAAACGCGTTGGGAAGAGGCCGCGTGTTCTGTGGTGCGAGTTATGCTCGCTGGTGCTGGATCGATCCTGTTATTTCTCGGTGTATTTTTTTATCGTTTCCTATAGTTCGGTTTTGCTCAATTAAGAAGTGTGCGTAATAGTTGGCTTTCAACGGTGTATCTTGCTATGCTATTCTCATGCTGAGAACTGATGTTGCTGATCAGTTCCTTCAATTCAACTACGATAAAAATAAGAAAAAATAAAAAGAGAATTAAAATGAGTGAGTGTGCCATCACCTTTTTGACACCGCCATCTTGCCGATTTTAAATTATTTTTTGGAATTGACAAATGCCCTGAAAATTTACAGATATGTAATTTACATAATCAATAACTCATTTAAAATGTTTTAAAAAAATAATAAAATTGTTTAGGCCCCGAAATAAAGTGAAAACAAAAAGTTACAAGTGAAAAAAAATAAAATAGTGAGTGGGCGAGCTCGTTTTGACACCCCCATCTTTAACGATTTTCAATGTTTTTGTGGCTTAGCAGAATGGCTTCAAAACTTATAGGTGTATAGGTTACATCATAGAGAACTTGCAAAACACAATTCAGAACAATAAACTTATTTTTAGGTCCCAAAAACATTATTGGCGGGGGCCGAACCTGGAGGTGTTCGGCCCCCGAACGAGACCTCGAACGCCCGAACGTTCAAGGGCCAGCCCGGGGCCCCCCGAACGTTCAATCGGGTAACCCTGTAAAATCGGATGGCGGTGTCAAAACGTGCTCGCCCACGTATTTTTTCACTTTTTACTTTTTGTTTTCACTTTAGTTCGGGGTCTAAACAATTTTATTATTTTTTGAAACTTTTGAAGTGGGTTTCGTATTATGTGAAGTACACAACTGTAAATTTTCAGGGAGTTTAGTTATGTCAAAAAACAATGAAAATCACCAAAGATGGCGGTCTCGAAAACACGCTGGCGCACTCACTAAATT